CGCAGACAAATTGTGACGGAGGTGGACTTGTACCCAACTTTGGATGACTCGTACCCGATTTTGGATGACTTGTAGCAAACTTTGGTTGAAACTTTGGATGATTTTACACAACTTTGGTGACTCGTCCCCAACTTTGGATGTCTTTTACACAACTTTAGGTGACTCGTCCCCAACTTTGGTGATCGTCCCCGACTTTTAGGTGACTCGTCCCCAACTTTGGATGTCTTTTACAAAACTTTGGATGACTCGTACCCAACTTTGGATGACTTTGTTGACTCGTCCCCAACTTTGGATGTCTTTTACACAACTTTAGGTGACTCGTCCCCAACTTTGGATGTCTTTTACACAACTTTAGGTGACTCGTCCCCAACTTTGGATGACTTTTACCGAACTTTTGTTGACTCGTCCCCAACTTTGGATGTCTTTTACACAACTTTGGGTGACTCCCTAACTTTGGATGTCTTTTACACAACTTTGGTGACTCATCTTTTGACACAACTTTAGGTGACTCGTCCCCAACTTTGACTGTCCCCAACTTTGGATGTCTTTACAACTTTAAGTGACTCGTCCCCAACTCTGGATGACTTTAACCGAACTTTTGTTGACTCGTTCCCAACTTTTGGATGTCTTTTACACAACTTTAGGTGACTCGTCCCCAACTTTGAATGATTTTTACCAAACCTTTGTTGACTCGTCCCCAACTGGATGTCTTTTACACAACTTTGGATGATTTGTACCACACTTTGGATGTCTTTTACACAACTTTAGGTGACTCGTCCCCAACTTTGGTGACTCGTCTTTTGACTCGTCCCCAACTTTGGATGTCTTTTACACAACTTTAGGTGACTCGTCCCCTTTGGAACTTTGAACTTTTGTTGACTCGTTCCCAACTTTGGATGTCTTTTACACAACTTTAGGTGACTCGTTTGGATGATTTTTACCAAACCTTTGTTGACTCGTCCCCAACTTTGGATGACTTTTACCGAACTTTTTGTTGACTCGTCCCCAACTCTGGATGTCTTTTACACAACTTTAGGTGACTTTTTGGATGACTCGTACACAACTTTGGTGATGGTCTTTGGATGTCTTTTACACAACTTTAGGTGACTCGTCCCCAACTTTGGATGACTTTTACCGAACTTTTGTTGACTCGTCCCCAACTTTGGATGTCTTTTACACAACTTTAGGTGACTCGTCCCCAACTTTGGATGATTTTTACCGAACTTTTGTTGACTCGTCCCCAACTTTGGATGACTTTTACCGAACTTTTGTTGACTCGTCCCCAACTTTGGATGTCTTTTACACAACTTTTGATGATTTGTACCAAACTTTGGATGACTTGTACCCAGCTTTTGATTACTTGTACCTCTTTACTTCATGGCCAGTATAGATCGTATTAAGACACACGCTGAAGACCCGGGTTCGATTCCCCACACGGGTACAATGTGTGAAGCCCATTTCTGGTGTCCCCCGCCGTGATATTTCTTGAATATTGCTTAAAGCGCGTAAAACTAAACTCACTTATTCACTTATGTGGTGACGTCTGTTTGTGTTAGTGTGCATGTATGGTCAGAGTATATACGAGTGAGTGAGTTGTACAACGCATCTGTATTATTTCATCCATACAACAACCAACATATCTGTACTCCTATAGGGTACAGATACCCATCTGACTAGTCAACCCTGGCCATTTATCTGGCTGCTGACCGCCTCCGTGGTGTAGTGGTTAGAGCGTCCGCCCGGAGAGTGGAAGGTCGCGGGTTCGATCCCCAACCACGTCATACCAAAAGACGTTAAAATATGGTACTTATTGGTCCCTGCCTGACGCTCGGCATTAATGGGTACAACAAGGACTGGTCGGCTCGGAGTTAGTATAATGTGTCTGAGTGGGGTATTCATGCTTCACTGCGGCATGGTATCTCAGTGGGCTAGCACTATAAAACCAGCTTAAGTCTGGGCTAGTACAAGCAGGCGCACATACACATACACACGCATGCACGTCGTCATATGAGCGATATATTCTCAAGCATGACGTTAAACCCAATTTCACCTCACCTCACCTTTATCTGGCTCCGAAATAATAAAACTGTGTAACATTTCTGCATTTATCGTAAATAAACAAACAATACAAATATATATGTCACTGACAAAAAATACTCTTTATAAGATTTTTCATTATACACAATACACTGACAAGTACCTGGTATATTGTGAAACATGCAAAATGTTTTATAAATGTATTTATAACATCCATCATAACATACCAGTAGTTGACTACTAGAACTTCCATACAATCCATTACATAATCTGCATACATTGCCATGGAAAGCTGTTTATAACCTGGATATAGATTAATTAAACAACTACAGTGTACACATTTGACTGAATTAATGTAAAGCAGATCACCAGTATATAGAGTAAAGGTAATAAGGCCATATATCTATCACTTGCCTATTACTTGGGCAAAACAAACAATGCATTCTTCGTGTTTCTGTGGAACAAACAAATCATTCACAAAGTCTGAGAGTGTACTGCATTCTTTAAAAAACAAGACAACCACACCTCCATGTGTCTGTGTGTGTGCATGCATGCATGAGTGTCTGTGTCTGTGCCACCATATGTGATTGCTTGTACAAGTCTGGACTAATGACACTTTCTTTGTGCTAGCACACTGAGATATCATGAAGCACTTCTACATTGTTACTCTAAACACTACAATAAGCAAACCAGTCTTAGTTCCATCCCCTTACTGCCCAGTGCCAGGCAGGGAAACATCAAGTATCATCTATGGCTCAGCAAGGGATCAAACCACTAACCTGCTCTCTTTGACCGGCATTCTAGAAGTTGAGGAGATAAAGAATGAGGACAAATTTTATGGATATACAACTTCTTTATTCTGTATAGGCAACGTTTCGACATAGATTCTAATGTCGTTGTCAAGCAAGTGTACAGAATAAAGAAGTTGACTATATTCATAGCAATATTCCAGCAACATCCTCATTCTTCATTTGTCCTCTATCCACTACACTTCACAAAATGACTAGCATGATTGAGACTGTCTGAAACACTGCACTAGAAAATATCGTAAATATTGTTTTGATTGCTGATGTCTGGATGTTGCGATAAGCAATAACTTGTAAGTGTATTCACAAAAGTCTTACAAAGCCTAAGCGCTAACAAAACAAATAGAGCTAAGCAATATATGAAGGATAATGAATTGAATAACAATAAACAAGTTTTGCTGAATGAGAACCAAATATAAACCTGTATGTAGGCAAATAAGAAAACATGCAAACAATTATAAAAGTAAAAGATAAACAGTAGTGGACCATATATCAAGGTAAACAACTTGCAAAAAAACCTTAGAAACGTCTTTGGCATATATGAAAAAAGGTATATCACATTACAATATGGATAAATATATCCTTGAATGAATTATTGCTGACTCTGCTATTAATCCAGCTATCTATTTTGTAAGGAAGATCAATGGGAGGAAAAAATGTGGTTATTTAAATGCATAAAGATAACAAAGCCACTAGGATGCTATTTCTAAATGCTCTGTTAAAGAAGCTGCTTGTATTTGTCTTCCCCCTCACTCCTCTTATCTGGAATACTACAGAAAAGTCATTGTAAAAGAAGAACTTTGCATGGCTTTTGTAGCAACACAAAAGGTATCGTTACAATCAACTGAAAGGGACAAATAACTTTACTCGTTACGTTCAAAGTTCACTAAATGATTTCAAATAAATTTTTCAAAAGTATCCAGGAGAGATAAAGAACAGATTCTTAAAAGCTTATTTCTTATAAATATAGTTTACAATATTACAACACATTTTGATTCAATAAATCACACTAACAATGGCTACATTTTCTGTCTTATGAAATATTACTGACTATTGCATTTAACAGCAAACAGAAATAACACTGAGAGACACATTTCCAAAATCCTAAAAGGAATGGAGAGAGATGGATAAACATCGATGTCATTGTCAGTTTATCCAATCCTTTTTTTTTTTCAAATTTCTGTATTCAATAATGCATGCATATTCATCAGCCAAGTCATTTGAGAACAGACAATCTGTGCAATCATCTGATACACAGGTATGAACTTGTATGTACCAAAGTGCGTATATATAGCAATGCATATGTATTGTATGTGGCTTGTAGCTCACATATATATTAAATACACATACTGTTTAGAAATAGTACTGACTGATTTTGTGGTTTTGGACATCATACATTTCGTTTATTGTGATTACTTGTGCCATAACAAAAAGGGTGTGGCACCCCACACCTTGTATTTACTCAGATGATGGCTTGTTATTTGAAAAAATGTTTTTTTTAAAACAGTGAAACAGTTGTCCATGTCATTGGCAAGAGACAAACAAATGCATTGGGACAAGCACGTCCCGAATCCCATAACACAAGGATACATGTATTATCATCGGATGTCAGACACTGCCGAAGAGTGTGTTGTGCCGCAGGAACAGTTAAAGCCTATGTAGCATCATCCAGTAAGCATGTGACGAAGGTATATCACACCATGTTCCCCTGAGGGACTAGCTGACATTGAAGTTATCATACCAGTGACATTTTTGCCTGTCTATCTGTAATGTCTTCATCAGCATGGTTGGCAAACAGTGTCAAGGAAATCTTGAAAGCTCGCAGATGAAGAAAACACATCAAGAGTTACTGCCCTTGTTTCACAAACTGGACATGCTTATTTAAGTGCATTTGATAGGTGTTCAGCACAGAGAACGTGAGTGAGCTTTTAGTTTTACGCCGCTTTTAGCAATATTATAGCAATATCACGGCAGGGGACACCAGAAATGGGCTTTACACATTGTACCCAGGTGGGGAATCGAACCCGGGTCTGTGGCGTGACAAGCGAACGCTTTAACCACTAGACTACCCAACCGCCTCTTCAGCACAGAGATGATGTAATGACATTTGTGTACTCACATGGTAAGAAATTCAGCATGTTAACATATGCACACACAGTCACCAAGCAGACAAGAGTATCATAATTTTCCACAATATGTGATCATTATCCCATAACATTCATCTGGCTACCTGTTATCACTAGACGTATATAAAATCCACAAATGGATAACAAAACAAAACATACATAAACATCGGTTTAAGATGGGACTGTACAAAATGACCATCATATGCTGCAAAACAGATGAACCTAAAAATCATTTCACTGATTTCACCTTCCATACAAACATGGCCTTAACCTCTATGAGTCAGAACTTTAATTGTCAAAAATTGATAGATGAGATCAGAGATTTATCATTTCTTTCTGTACTTGGCAGGTGATGCTCCGTGATCTGTGTTGACGAGGAACGGTGTATCAAGGCCAGCAAATCCAGCACATATTCCACCTTCGTCTGTTCCCAGAACTTTGGTCCTTAGCATGTGGCCACACTGTGTGTTCATCTTCTCCTCTGTGGCCGACCTGGAAATACCAGTACACCATCAGTGCCAGACACAAGGACACCATCAGAGACAAAAACATTTTCCACCAGACACACACAAAATATTTACCATGAGACACACGAAAAATATTTAGCAACAGACACACTAAAAAAATATTTACCATCAGACACACTAAAAAATCAGAGACAAAAACATATTTTACCATCAGACACAACTGACAGAAAAAACAAAATAACGCCATCAGACAAGTACACAATCAGACACCAAAATATTTACTATTAGACACAACTGACAGAAAAAACAAAATAACGCCATCAGACAAGTACACAATCAGACACCAAAATATTTACTATTAGACACAAGTACAAAATACATAATATTTACCATCAGACACAACTGACATGACAGAAAACAAAATAACGTCATCAGACAAGTACACAATCAGACACCAAAATATTTACTATTAGACACAAGTACACAATCAGAGACAAAAACATAATATTTACCATCAGACACAACTACATCTATATCATCAGACAACTACAAGACAGGTACCAATGGCCAGTGGGAAGATACACATATACTACAGAACCCAGCTGATGTCAGTGTACCCTGAATTCACATGTGCAGGAAAGGCACTTACTCTTCTGAAAAATGAGTCCATGATATCCCCAGTCCTAAAATTACATCAGGCAACACGAACTGTGTTCCTAGGTTCAGGGGATATACCTACCCAATATACACTCCATATATCCCGAGTTCACTGATGACATCAGACAGGACGAAAGGTATCCCTGGCTTCAGAAGATAGTTTTTTTGTGCTTTTGGGAATATCCTCTCCATCAGGATGTACGCATTCCTCTCTTTGGACTTCTGGTGAGCCTCCAGGAATTCTCTGATGTCATCTCCATACAGGTTGTTTCCTGGCAACAGAGGACATATCACATACAGATTACCTACCACTAGGGGTGAAACAGTACACTTGAAGTTCGGTTCGGTGTGTATTGTGGCGCAGGACCCTCGGTTCGGTGTGTATTGTGGCGCAGGACCCTCGGTTCGGTGTGTATTGTGGCGCAGGACCCTCGGTTCGGTGTGTATTGTGGCGCAGGACCCTCGGTTCAGTGTGTATTGTGGCGCAGGACCCTCGGTTCAGTACAGAACCAAGAATGCAACAGAACTAAAATCACGACAAGCCCTTTTTTTCTTAAAAATAAAGTTACAACAAGAAGACAAAGTCATCAATATCCCCCGCAATGGCAAAATACTCTTCATGATTATGTCTACGAGTTATGATTATGTCAAATATTTAGGTGTGTATATAGAAAAGTGGAAGGAGAGTATTGAAAGGTTTTTAAAGTTCTGCTCCAGAAAGCAGCACTATCACCAATTTCAGGCTAAGTCAAACTTGTTGCCATGGAAATGCCAAAAATATTTTATTCAGAATTTCAAAACTACCAAAAGGCACAAGTACACCACCAGACCAATCTATGTGCCAAGTTTGGTGAAGAAATATTGAACGGTTTTAGAGTTCTGCTCTGGAAAAGAGCACTACCACTAATTTCAGTCAAAGTCGAACTTGTTGCCATGGAAACGCCAAAAATATTTAATTCAGAATTCCAAAACTACCAAAAGGCACCAGTACACCACCAGATCCATGTATGTGCCAAGTTTGGTGAAGAAATGTTGAACGGTTTTAGAGTTCTGCTCCGGAAAAGACAAATGTGCACGGACGGACGCACGCACGCACGGACGGAGTCCATTTTAATACCCCCCGCAAAACGCGTTGCGGGGGATAAAAAATTAGGTATGCGGTATATACAGAAAATATACTTTGATACTGAATCGAAAGCAAAATACTGCAGTTCAGCTAAAACAGTTGTGAACCGTTTCACACCTACAGACCAGAGACACAGTAAATATCACAGACACATCGCACATACAGAGGCAGAGATGCAAACCCTGAATCTAATGAAAGCAGAGTCATGCCTGGCTGGAAGTAAGACCTGAGCACCAAAGGTGCAAGTTGGGGGTGAGCTTGTGGTCAGCTCTGCCATTTTGTTTCACTTACATACAGGCTATGACATGCATTCTGAAAAACTTTGTGAAACTTCATCATCAATAACACCCAATATACACAATCGACACACAAAGATCACACATAAGCTTCTGAATGCTTTTACCAGTGTCCACTCAAATAAATCACCGGTGACTTACGAAATTGTATACCGTAAAAATAAATTCAGAATTTTTTCTCCAAAACCAGAGTTTCTTAAAGAGAAATCGGAGAGTGGATTTTGTATTTGAAAATCAGAGTAACTCCGTCAAACTCGGAGTTGTTGGCATCTCTGCAGAAGACACTTCAGACAGATATCACCAGGGCCAACCAATTTTAGGGTTTTTGTCTGACTTTCTGAAGCCATTTTAAAGACTTACCTCCCCCTTCTCTCTGTGGCTTGAGGACGTACATGTCTGGGTCAGTCTTCCCCAACTCCACGCCCTTGTCACCTTCTGGACCCTGGACATCATAGAAGTGATGCACTTGTGACACATGCATAAGATACTGAGATATCACATAGCATGTGTTATGTGGATGTGTTTTTGTTGATTATGTCACATTAAGTAACTTTTAGTTATTATGGGTCACAAAAGTATAAAGAGCTGAGTTTGGAGTTGAACTCACATCTTGTACTCAGGCTGTGTATTTTCACCTGTTAAGAGTGGGCTCGGGAGTTACCTCCCCTTTGTTTTACTTCCAGTTGTTGTAAGCTGAGAGTATTTTCTAGATGGTCCTCGTGTAGGGCTCTGAAGGGTACTCGAGTACCCGGCAACAGGTCTGGTATGGCAGGACTCGAGCCCAAATTCCAGGACACAACTACCCGACAAAGGGAAATAACTCTAAACTAAACGTGACCACGTGTGCAGTCATGGGTGAGAAAAGGTCGAACGCATGGGCCTATTTTGATCTTGACACTTCGAAACACAAAACCAAGGGTCGCCTTTGATCCATTATGCTGAGTTATGCAGGGAGCTCAACAAGCTCAATGAGCAAACATCTTAACATGAAATACAAGTCCGTCAGTGTGGACGATTCTTCCCAAAATCCAGTCAAAAAGCAAGACACGCTGACGCTGGGATATTTTGGGGGTTAGAACAGACAAAAAGCTTGACTCAAAAACATACGAGACACTCACATGCAAGGCCATGATGATGTGCGTTAGAGACCTCACACCTTTGAACCTTGTTAAAGGTAATGGTTTTCGTGATTTTTGTCACTCACTGAATCCCAGTTATATCGTACCATGTCCAAAGACACGCACAAAGTTCTCACTAAAATTTATACTATAATTTGCGGGTACTTGAGTCCGGGTGGGGTTTTATCCCCCTCGTACTCGAGTCCGATATTTGCTACCCGTCAGAGCCCTATCCTCATGTGGCATGTTTTTTGTTAGAATTCACTAGAACTGTTTATAAGGGTATTTAAGGTATGGTTGTTGAGATGTATGGAGGAACTACTTTCGATTTACACTCCTCTGTCTGCTAACATCGACATTTCAAGAGGCCTCGTCTACATTGAACTTTCAACAGCTGTCAACAATCTTCAATCAGTACATCTGATCTGTTTTATACTGTGAATATCAATACTTTGGTGAGTTAATATTTTAGATTTGTGACCCAATATTCTAGATTTGTGATCCAATAGTATTGTATTAGAAATCTGTACTGTCATTCTTTGTAACCTTGTTTATTCAATAAACAATTGAATATTATTGACTCATCTGTGTTATATTTTGCTGGTTTAAAGGGGACTCACAAGCATTTTATCTCAGTAATTTCTAAACCGTAACACATGTAATATAAGCATGTCATACCTGGACATCATATAGCTATATATCTGTGATATCCTATAATAAACGATTGATTTATGCAAGAAAAGTGTACACACCACTGACACTGACAGACTTAAAAAATCTCTTTAGTAAATCTCACTGTACGTCTCATGTAAAATTTCTCACCAAGTCTAAACTATGCTGCTTCACAAATGTAGCTCGGATTCTCTTCACTGCAGCTGGGTCTTTGATGAACTGTTCCACTGATCCAGGTAGGGCCAACTCTTGTTGAATTTTCTTTGTGCCAGCCAGTTGGTATTGGATGGAGGGACACTTGATAGCTAATGAATGTTCCAGCATCAGTCTAGCATCCCATTCCTAAAACAATGATCAGGTACTTACTGGGAGTTTGTCTGAATGGACTTATAATTTGCACACATTGTTTCAGGTCCCAAAGCATGCCCTCAAACAGTTGTCAGTTTTGTAAATCCTTTCACACGCCTCTCTGTATGTTTGTTTACTAATATTGATAAGTGTATTAAGTCAAATTCCAGCTATATCTGGAGTCTGGACCAGACAATCCAGTGATATATATCATGCTTCAAGCTGTCCCAGTATGATAAAACACAATCATCAAGTCTGACAACCTAATCCATTTAGTTACCTTACAACCAGCAGTTTGCTGACAAACTATTATTACCCAGAATCCACAAGGGTGTACTCCTGCCCTACACAAACACCAAACATCTGCTGTGTGAGGCCTTTAGCCCAGTATTAGAGACATGGCATACCTTATGTGTTGGGAAGGCATCCGGTTCATAGCCAGTCCGCAGATACACCACAGCCACTTCCTCTCCGTCACTATACATAATGAATAACACCTTACAGAACAGTAGAAACCTAACATATTGGATCATATTTAAATTTTACAAGACTATGACAAAACTTTGTTGAGGGACAATCTTTGTTTTAATACTTCTCTTACCTCCTTGAAACATCACAGAATGTTTTGCTGTGATATAACAAAAGATAGAATATTCTCCTGCATCATCTATTAGAGGCTATGGAAGAATAAGCTATGATACTCTTTCGCAAATTGGAATAACACATAAAAGATTTTTCCGCAATACATGCAGGAACACAGAAGTTCATGTAAACATAATTGTAGTTACAAAGAGGACTGAGCTGGCAAATCCATTCATGACATATATTTTCATTAATAAAATATGTTTAAATCAAACAAGACTGAACTCCGGCAGTGTGTTGAGAAAATCATCCTTATTATGTAAAGGTGAGCTACTATCCCAGAGTTCCAGATGCTTGATATTTGGCCCTGGAAGTTATCACTCACATTATCATTCGCTTGTCTTCTGTCAGAGAGGCATTGTTGTAGATGTCCAGGTACGTGCGACGTAGCACCCGGACCCCACGGTTTATTGAGTACGCCTTGAACTCCAGGGCACGTTGGTCAAAGATATTTCTCTCTGCTGCACTCACAACGAACAGCAGGACTGCCCTGGAAAATACAGCAGAACATGAACAGGCTAGAGGAAAGGTTGAGTTGGTAAAAGGTTGCTTTGAACATAATTTCTGTCAAATCACAGTGAACAGGAGGAAGGTTTGAAGTGATGTAGGCATCATATGTTTAACAGCTCGGTGAAACCAAAGACAGCTTTTGTTTATTACATTCGTTGTCATAAATGTCCATCCGCCTCACACCCCAGTGGCTTTGTGGTTCTTGTTAGAACAATCACTACATCCTGACACTACTACATATAAACATGAAACTAATCACAATCCTAAGATTGTGAAGGTGACTTACACTATCAAGTAGTCAAACAAGATATATGTTTTTATTATGACTTTGACCTATAACAACAATGTGACCAGACTTACTGTTTCCGGCCATACAGCTCCCAGGCCTTGACCATGCCATGAGCGAGTCCTAAAGCAGGATCGTTGTCTGGCACCTGGTACACAAAACATCACGCTGTTGACATGTCGTCTGTTGTCTATGTCATACGCAACTATTTTTTTTACATGGAATTTCTATCATACCAGTAATCTTTTTTCAGAAATAACAATATTATTTTGTGAAAAAGAAGTGCTACAGCACTGGAACTCTCAAGGATAAGGAGTCAACAGGTTGAAAAGGAACATTGAGCCAAAGTTACTGTCAGCATTAATGTTAAGATATATTCTGCATAAATAGTATAAACTAAGTTTACGGTGGCAGTTAAAGTGAGTGAGTGAGTTTAGTTTTACTCTGCTCTTAGCAATATTCCAGCTTTATCATGGCGGGGGACACCAGAAATGGGCTTCACATATTGTACCAATGTGGGGAATCGAACCCGGGTCTTCGGCGTGACGAACAAACACTTTAACCACTACGCTAAACCACCACCCCCACTGCAGATTGACTTGGACTAATCACAAATCATAATGTCCGCATATACATACCTCTCTCTCCAAGTCGTTGTCGTGAGAAGTTTTATTGACAATGGAAATCAGGAAGTAAAGTTATATAAAAAGCAAACAAACATCAATAGTATTTACCCGAGATAGTTAATACCACTTACGATGCAAAATCAGTTAGATCAGTCATCTGCTGGTGACAGGCAATATATAAATAGGAAGACACGTGATCACAACACTCCCTCGCAGTGCGGAGCAAATAGTATGGTTCTTCGTCGAAAACCCATACAAAATACCCGGATGTTACGAGCGGCGGATATGTGAGTTTATGTAATTCTGTTTTGCGCTATTCAAGCAACATCATGCCAGTCCATAAAATAGCTGTATCAGCAGTCTGACCATTTCATCCCTTGAGTGTACAAGTGTAAGTTGCTGGGCGCCTATTGTTATCATCCTACTAGAAGTATGGGTTACTATCCACCTCAATCGCCCCAAGAGGTTAAACACAAGTGTGTCCTACTTACCTCCTCTGCACTGTAATGCTTGCCTATCATATCCAGTGTAAACCTACAAAACAAAACTTAAGTAAATCACGAATGTAATATCAGTTTAAACCGATGAGGTTGCCATCCCTGCCTGAGATTAAATACCATGTCATTTTACAAGGTGAGTCTCACTTTGTCAATCCTTTATCAAAACAACCTCAGTGTTGTCCAAGATATTTTTATGGATTAAACTTCTTTATAATATCCCTCACGACGTTTCGAGACCATTCCAGGTCCCTTCATCAGGTGAACTGACAGTTGGGACTATGACTTAGAAAAAAAACACATTGTTCATTTCTGCACTAATCTCTCCTCAGTAAAATCCGTTTTTACCTTTTTTCCTTTATCCACTGAGACTGTAGTTTAACTTGGTTTAACAGATATTTCACACTTTCACATATTACCTACATATATTGTGGCTATAAATGTTTTTTTTCTATTTCCAACAGTACTTTAGGTTGAATTCAGTTGCATGAAATATTTGGAAGTATTTTTACCGATTTTGAGCGATATATATTTGGACCAATCATTCAGATGGTGTATATTCGTGTTTCAAAAAGACACTCACCTATGCATTAGAACAGTGGATGTGGTAAGACCGGCAAAACTCGCTGATATTGTGTTGAACTCAACCTGTTTGGGCTGAACATTGTCCAGATCCTTCACATCCAACATGAAGTCGTTCCTGAACAATCCTAAAGACAGGGGCTGGAAGCCACAAAAAATATATTTGCTTAATGGAAGCCATCAAAAGAAAAGTTCAACAAAAGACACTGGAATATATAGATGAAAGCATCAAATATGTCTACCAGTCAATCAAAGAGACTACTAGCCTGAAGACTAGATAACATCATCATTATCATGAACACTTCCTCTGACTCGTGCTAGACAAGGCAAGTCAGCTGAGAAAACAACTGAAAATAGAGCCTCTCTGTAACTCACCTGAATAATGAAAAAGATAGGGTACTAATAGGTGAGGTGAGGTGAAATTGGGTTTAACGTCGTGCTTGAGAATATTTCGCTCATATGACGGTGTGTATGTGTATGTGCGGGTGCTTGTACTAGCCCAGACTTAAGCTGGTTTTATAGTGCTAGCCCACTGAGATACCATGCTGCAGTGAAGCATGAATACCCCACTCAGACACATTATACTGACTCCGAGCCGACCAGTCCTTGTTGTACCCATTAATGCCGAGCGCCAGGCAGGGACCAACAAGTACCATATTTTAACGTCTTTTGGTATGACGCGGTCGGGGATCGAACCTGCGACCTTCCGCTCTCCGGGCGGACGCTCTAACCACTCCACCACGGAGGCGGCCAGGGTACTAATTGCTACATTACTGCAACAAGCATCTTGAGAGACAAGACAAAGCTGATACAGTAGATTGAAACAACATGAAAACAAACTATTTTTTTCAATATTGTCCACAATGCCATAGTGGACTGCTAAACATGATGTCTTGAACAACCTCGACATGTCTTCTAGCAACTGGAATGGACTGAAACTTTTGACCTTTTTACATTTTGTGTTCATATTGTTGGGAGTTGCAGGTTCCTTTTACTTTCACATTCGACTGCATTAACCTTGTGAATCTGATAGTGTTGCTACTGCATCACGATGTGCTACATTCTGTTTAACCTAGTTTTACCTTGTATTAATCAGTATTTGTACTTAAATATGTAAATATGTAGCTTAAACTAGTGTCACCTGGCATCATCAGCTGACACGATATCATATTGTGTAGTTCATATAGTCAAAATTGTCCTCTAAAACAATAACTAACATATGTTACCTTAATGATGAACTGTAAATTGAACAAACATAAAAACACAATTAACTTGTGCTTGGGATTAGTAATAAATATTCTTATATACATTCACAGTGAGGTTGGAACAGACATTTACATCAGCAGTGTGGGCACTTATTTACTGCACAGCTGGGACATACATGTACACATACATTAACAGAATATACAGAACACTCCATACCTGGGTGTAGCCTTCCTCCCTCACTTGTGTGTAAATCTTCCACAGGCCTTGTGTAAAGTCATCCACCTGTAAAACACTGAAATTAAAGGAAACAGATGACATGAGTGAATTTCATAGCAGCAACATTCCAGCTGAGTTGAGTGAGTGAGTGAAGGAGTGAGTGAGTGAGTGAAGGAGTGAGTGAGTGAGTGAAGGAGTGAGTGAAGGAGTAAGAGAGTGAGTACATAATTAAAACAAGTGTAGAAGTGAGCACAGCTCACATAACCCCGCTTCCCACTTTGGGACATGGAAATGACTGATATTGATATATATAATGTGACAAGGATCAGCAGCTCACAAGACTTTCTCTTTGACTCTACTAAACTTTATATACATGTTAGATAATAGTTTTGGCATGTACTGATTACCATCAAAATAGTCTAGCCAATCACAAAAGCTGTTATAATTTATGGAAACTAGATTTTTTTGTGTTTTCTATCAAGACTTTGACGGAGATGGATAAACCTGACATACAATTGAACTTGACTGTCTCATGTTGCACACAATGAAGTGGATGTAGATGAAGATTGCTATTTTTTAGCACATGGCATATCTGTGGGTCATGATTAACTTGTGTATTAAGTTTGGTTAACCAAGCATGTATAGTTTTATGATGATATGCCGTGGTCAGGTAACCATCAAACACATTTTGCATGTACCTAGCATGAACCTAGCATGTAAACTTTAAGAGATATGCTCCAGGCAAAACCATCAAACACATTTGGCACTAAGTTATGTTTCAATGGAAACAGCAAAAAATAAAATTCATATCTGGATCTAAACCCCGAAAGGCACATCTAGGGATCATGCTTGATATGTGTAACAAGTTTGATGAAGCTAGCATGTATAGTTTGGAAGATCTGCTCCGGACAAGATGACATCCTCATAGTCACAGCCTAAGTTGTGTTTCCATGGAAACAGAAAAAAACAAAATTCTGAAAAAACTTTGAAATAGCAAAAGGCACATCAATGGGTAATGATTAACATGTGTGTGAAGTTTGGTGAACCTAGCATGTAAACTTTAAGAGATATGCTCCGGACAAGGTTTTGGGACGGACGGAAGGACGGACAGAATGAACACTATATACCCCCGTTACTTCGTGAGCGGGGGTATAATAAAAGCAAAACCCACACTCCTAACCCGAACGCGGTATTATGGTTTATTAGCCACGTGGTCAACGTATGGGTAGTTGCATACTAATCTCGTACGTCACACGAGTGTCGTATCGCGTTGACCTGTGTCGTAACGACTTGACCTGAGATTATAATGATTTGATTGGATAACCGATGACCTCTCAGTTAGGTCACGTTCTGACTTAACTATTTTTTCATTCTTAACAAACACGTGAATTCATTCATTCTACAACTTAAATGCATTGTGGGAATGTAAACATTGCGAACGTCGCCGTGTCGCTGTTTAATTGTGAGTCGAACTGAGACATTATATCCGTCGAAAAACATAAACGCAATGTTTCCACCAGTGATGTTAGCCGAGTGAAGCAGTTGCAAACCAAGAAACGGGGTGCTACGGAGTAGTTTACTGTAGGAGGCTGTACGAGGCGATGACAACTGACATGCATCATGACGTCGGTTACCAAGGCAGTGACGTCATTACAGTGTGACGTCATGCAAATCTTGTACTACAGTACAAAACTCTTCTGCAACCTTTTTATGAAACCGGTTTCGGTTTGAAACAAAACAATAACAAAAATACGCTATTTTGTCAATTTAATGCATGTAAGAAGTGGGTAATAAATAAAATACCACACTCAGTCTCATTACATACGAATTATACGAAACTCGTGACCTTCCTATGTTATCTGACCTCGCTTTCGCTCGGTCAGGTACCATAGGAAGGACACTCATTTCATATAATTCGTATGTAATGAGACCGAGTGTAGTATTCTCTATATATCAAGTGATGCTACAAGTACAACATCCTTATGTTGTCATTCCCACTTTCAGGCTTAGACCCCCAAATCTCTTCCTGAGATTCCCTGGGATCGAGACACAAAATACGACATGGAAACGACAGGCCAGCGATGTGCTTAATGAAACGCTAACCAGAATGGATATTACAAATGTTTACCGAGCTAACATATAGTGCTCAATGGTCAATTGTTTAAGTTAAGCCTTTGTGGTTTTTTGACAGGTATATTTAAGAATCAGCGGTCAGACTGGACATACAGCTGGATACAAATTATTTTAAGGTTTTGTGGAGATAGGCCTGACATCTCGCATTAGGATAGACTAGTTGAGTTTCTGTCGTTTAGTACAGTTTATGGTGTGACGAAAGATAATAAACTCTAACCAATAATGATAGTTTGTTCTTACTTCTTCAGGGCCTTTTCCAGGAAGTTGTGATCATGGGCTACTTTATGGATGAGTGTGTTGAAATCCAGCATGCAGTCCACGGCCTCCTGGAAGCAAGTCCGGGGCACCACGCTGGGAAACAGGGTAAAGGGGGCACACTCAGCCAGCACAGATCCCTCTTCTCCCTGAACGGACTTCAAGCTGATACCTAGGGATGGAGTGAATGAGTGAGTGAGGGTTTGTGAAGTAGTCGCAATGTGAAAACAACATCATAGCAGCCTGAAAACTGAAACTGACCTGTACAAGTCAAGTCAGTATGACTTTAAGCAATATTCCAGCAATATTACTGCCGAGGATTTATGTTCCAAACAATTACAACAAGCATTGTCACTAAGGTGACATAATCCCCCCCGCAGCAAATTATCAAATCAAACTTATAAAGTAATGAAAGTTTATGATGAAGTTAAATGTCAACAAAAACATTATCTTGCTCATTAGTTGTTCAAACACACACATATTTTCAAGACTGACTTTGACCTTGACATGAATGTCATAGTGTATGAAATATGCAAAACTAGTACTAAAGAAATTTCTTATTGAAAAACATTCAAGGGAGGTCTTGAAAGTCTATGAAGAGAATCCAGTGAACCGTTCTTAAAATATCTTGCTGACAATTCAGGTTTACATTCTAAAATCTTCATAGTGTCGTCGTGACCCTACAAATTATGTGAAGGTCACCAAAATTGACTGGGCCCTGGGCCTTCCCTAGATGAAGATTGGTGTCAAATATGAAGAAAATCCACTGAATATTGTTTGAGATATCTTGCCGACAAGCATAACATGTAGCTTAACATGCTGAAATCTTCAAAGTGTCTCTGTGACCTTGAAAATTAAGTGAAGGTCACCAAAATCGACTGGGCCCTGCGCCTTCCCTTGATGAAGCTTGGTGTCAAATGTGAAGAAACTCCAGTGAATGGTTCTTGAGGTATCTTGCTGACAAGCATAACATGTAGTTTAATATGGTGAAATCTTCAAAGTGTCTCTGTGACCTTGAAAATTAAGTGAAGGTCACCAAAAGTGACTGGGCCCTGCGCCTTCCCTGGATAAAGCTTGGGGTTGAATATGAAGAAAATCCAGGAAATGGTTCTTGAGATAGCTTTACATGCAGGTTTACATGCTGAAATCTTCAAAGTGTCGCCATGACCTTGATAATTATGAGAAGGTCACCAAAATCGACTGGGCCCTGGGCCTTCCCGAGATAAAGCTTGGTATTGAATATGAAGAAAATGCAGTGAACGGTTCTTGAGATAGCTTAACATGCAGGCAAAACGTGAAAGTCCCCTTGTGACCTTGAAATGAAGGTCAAGGTCACCAAACCTGACTTGGGCCTTTCTTATAGTGTGATGAACCTAGGTACCAAATATGAAAAGAATCTAGTGAACGGTTCTTAAGATATTCCAATTAGTACGTACGTACGTNACGGAGCCTAATACTATATCCCCCGCTTAGCGTATATCGACTTATCCGACATCGGCCTAACTGGGCCTTCAGTGGGATGCGTAATAGGATATCCAGAAAAGCATGTTTACTAGTAAAATCGGACAAAGCTTAGAAAAAATATGAATAGCTGCTGAAAAGAATAGATCAGACTATAAATTGCAATTAGGTCGCTGAGCCAGGTATGACAACGGACCCTCGATTCATTTGGCATGATATGCACGTGCTGCCCACAGGCACAAGGGATCATCTCAAACATATTTTATGCTTTTCATGTGTATCGAATATGTCTCTATTGATTATCTTATCTTATAGTTTTCATAGCTGATATCTCTATCCCCCATCCCGAACCCAACCACCTGCAACACCAGTCCTGGGTTTGCTTTTGAGACGACCCCTCCTACCTGTTTCTTTTTATAGTGATAGTGAGACTCCATGGTAGCTAACTTCCTTAATAGTTTCAGTATTAAAGTTATCATTTTTTACATCTGCTATCGTCTATAATGAAGCTAAGTCTAATTTCAAAATGATCATTTAAAAAGTGTCATTTGTAATACAATATCATCCCACACTAATTTGCATAAAGCCATGGTCTGCTCTAAATAAGTCGCATTGGACTTCTGAAAAAAAACGCATTTCTCATTTCTGCACTAATCTCCCCTCAGTAAAGTCCTTTTTCTACATTTCCTATCTCCCTCCCACTGATACTGTAGTTAAACAGAACTTAGTTTTACAGATATTTCACACTTTCACATATCAACTACATAAATTGTAGATATAAATGTGAAAAAACAGTTTTTTCTATTTCCGACAGTACTTTAGGCTACTCCACCACATGTCAAACCAGTGGTTGATAGCATCAGCACCTCTTCATCATCTAACAGTGTAATGACACCTGGGAACTGATGAGACTGGAGTATGGAGAGGGATCTACATTGGAAGTTTAACTAATTACCTGTTGCTAACCTATTCATGAGGACCTCCCTTTTCATAGGGTTTTTTTCAATCAGGTGTTCTGACTGTTTTAAAATGTCACATCTTCAAAAGCATTACATTGTGTTTTATAACAAAAACATTTTGTAATATTTTCTTCACAATGTGTGAGGATAATTTAACAAAGTCTTGTAGTAGACTAATGTACAAAGAAGCATGAGATATATTTTCCAAATTTGCAATGTATTCCTTTCATATTGTACATGACAATATTTATCAGTACATTTAGTTGTACAACTTTAAATCTGCAAAGGTGTAAAGAGTCAAATTACAGTCAAATTTTACAACACTGCAATGAGTGAAGTCCTACTTCAAAGCAAATATATCCCAAATTTCAATACATTTCAAAACACAGGTGTCTATGTCATGGTTATTAATGGATCTTTAAATATGTCTGTAAGAAAAAATGGGGTATGTGAGGGTTGTTGGTCATAGCTTGATGTAAATTCCAAGAATGCTGTAACAGCCTGTATGATATGTTTCACTGCCTACATACTTCTGGCACATCAAATTTCATCATGCAGAATATTGGCAGAGTAATGAGTAAATATGACATTTTTTATGAAGTCACCAAGGCTTTACTTAGCTGTAGTTTTCATACCTTTTGTGATTAGTTAAACATATTTACACAATGAATACAAAGATGCGAGTATATACCTGTTGAGAGAGCAAAGTCTCTTGCTTTGTCCAACACTTCATGAAGCCTGTTTTTATCAACCGCGAACTTGCTCCCTAAACAGTCCACCATAGTTGCACTTCTTTATCTGAAGTGAAGAAACAAACATCATGATACTCAGGTGTTCAAAGATTTGGGGGTATTATTAGCGGAAGTGTATGCTCTCAAAAATCATGTTTTTGCTTAATGAAACAAACATAATTTTACAATGAGTTATACACACATTTTTTTCACATTGAAAAGCTCAAAACAAGCATTCACATTGCTCAGAGTGAAACAGGCTAGAGCTAAGCTCTTTGGGTTTAATGTAATTGATGCCAATATAAACTTGTCTCCTATCACGTCCCAGCACAAAGGGTATCCATAGTGAAATTAATACCCCAAACCTGCATTATAATGGAAACTGTAAGCAGCAGTATAGATGGAATGTGCATCCTTTAATTCATAAACCTTCACCTCAAGGAAATACCAGATGTACAACAATGTCGACATATGACATCACTATCAGCAGGGTATGAAACTCCCAAAATTTTCAGCCAGACCACAGGGCTGGTTAAATGTAAAACTTGCCAGCCCTGACCAAAACTTACCTGCCCACAAAAATACTAATTTACTGAGTATAATTAAATTAAAACTGATGAATAACTTCATATACATGTCTAAATTTTAACCCGACCGGGCAGGGGAATTGGAGAATCTGGCAGTCCGTGTTGAATATAACCTGTCAGGCATATTTGAACGCTGCTATCTGTTCAGCTGACATGAGAATAAGGGATTTTATTAAGGAACTTTTGCTGTTTGATGGTTTGTATTACTCATAATGTGACATATAAGTAATCATAAACACTCTGACAATCTGCGTTATTTGGTTCTATGGTTTTCACTGTAACCCTGGGAAATGCTGACAATTAAGTACCAGCACATGTGTTCGCATCATCCATGCATTATACTGGATGGAAACTATAAATAGTTCAAATAAATGGTAAATAAGCTCAGCGCAGTCGACCTTGCCCTTGGCAATAAGCTCGGTGCAGCCAAGCTTGCCCTTGGCAATAAGCTCAGTGCAGTCACTTGTGTTTTGTAGATATCAGTGCACTCTACTCTTACTCTCGTACAAAGGCACATTGTAGTCTCCCTTTCTTATGTGACTAGGCTCTTTGTAGCCGCCCCTTCTTTGTGAATAGGATCAGTGCACTTACGATATTTGTTTTGTCTATGGAACTACAAGGTAAATACACTCCATGAAGATCCGGTTTAGAATTGGTCTTCAGCAACCCATGCTTGTCATAAAAACTAATAATGGGATCGGATGGTCAGGCTTGCTGACTTTGTTGACACATGTCATCGCATCCCAATTGCATAGATCGATGTTCATGCTGTTGATCACTGGATTGTCTGTTTAAGACTCGTTGATATAATCCCTCACAAACTCCCTAATTGGAACCTAATTTTTTATGTGTGCCAAGAACTTGCAAAAGATTGTTCTCATTTCCAACTCTAAAGATGGCGAAATGTTATGCTATTGGTAAGTTCAAATATTCTACATTGCCTAAATCAGAGACCATATAATAGATCTATTTTATGGTCTCTGCCTAAATGCGCCTGATCGGAACAGAAATCAAAGATCTAAAAACAGAACTGGGGGAAAACCTAGACTAACCTGAAGATCGGAAAGGCACGTAAGATCAGTGAAACAGAGCCACAGCCTCCAGTCAGACTCTGAGCCTAAAGTGCACGCTGGATTAAAACTACAATTTTACCGAACGCACCTTCTAGATGTACCGTACAATCGTCAGCCTCTCCTAAAACCATAAACAATGACACAGCAAGAAATGAAGAATATACCCTGCCACGCCGGCACGTAGGACATTGTTGATAAATCGTAATATCGTAATAGAAAATGAATGCCATACCTCAACAGTCAGGTTCAGTGGTGTGGCTATCTGTCTGGAGTCAAAATTGAACGTGTAAAGTAATGGCGTAGTTGTTTCTATTCACAAGCAGGCAGAAAGCAAGTCATGTCCACTGGCATCTGTCTCAACTCGGCTCGCCGATATTGGGTTCACGCACATGTTTAGAGTTACCTCCCTTCTGTAAATGCTCTTTTACTACCGCTTTGTCCAATATGATATCCGCGCGATAGTTTCCTGGATCATCGGTGCAAATTTAGTCTGTCTCACAGTCCCCGAACCACATTGTTTTCCCTAGCCCTCACTGCAATGCTAAAGCCCAAAATGAAGCAAGTCTAGATTTCCTCAGGTTTAGGATCTCCCTGGGGCTCCTTTCAATTTAAATGGGTTCGGTTTGTTTGTTACAAAATATATCTAAAATTATGTTATAAAATTATATATACTCTCCCAAAAAAGAAACGCATCATGAAAATAGAAATTTCATGTAGCAATTAATTAAAACGTGATTCATTTTACAAAAGGTTTTGCTCTGTTTATGAGTCCTATGGTGTTTATGTTTTGAAACATCACAACAAAACGCACCATCCGTAAAATACCCGTATTTAACAGCATGATCTTCAATTTCGGCGTGTAGTGTCACAGAATACACAATTCACATGCAATGCACGTGAAAGTTGGGGATCAGATAGTCTCAATGATGGGTATAAAAGGTTGATCGCTGTCTGTCGATTATTCACTGTATTGGAATATTGCAAAATGCCACGTCTAAGTGAAGCCAACCGTCATATCGCCATTGGTTTGCTTGAAGCTTGCCAGTCTCAACGTGCAGTTGCCCGACGCATGAATGTTCACCAAAGCACCATTTCACGGCTCTGGGAGAGATATCGCCGGCAGAATGCGGTAGCAGATGCCCCTCGTAGTGGGCGACCTCGAGCGACCACTGCGGCGCAGGATCGCTACATCCGGGTACATCACCTGCGTCATCGAACAGCTACGGCGACCAGTACCGCTCGACAAATACCCGGATTGGGGAGGCTTTCTGCACAGACCGTCAGGAACAGGTTGAGAGGCTGGTTTACGTGCCAGAAGACCTTATTCTGGCCCTGTGCTGCGACAACAACATTGTCGACATCGAGTTCAATAGTTCAACAACGTTCAGGCCTGGAACCTACCGAATTGGCGTAGAATCTGGTTCAGTGATGAATCACAATTTCTATTGGAACGACGCGGTGGAAGAATGCGGGTGTACAGACGTCGACGTGAACGTTTCGCCGACGCTTGCGTTGCCCAGGGTGACAGATTCGGCCGGGGCTGTGTTATGATGTGGGGAGCGATCACCTGCCGTAGGAGAAGTGATTTGGTGATGATCCAGGGCAACCTGACAGCTCAACGGTACTGTGACGAAATCCTACGCCCACACCTCCCTCCAATCATTGATCGCCAGAGGGAGTTGTTTCAACAGGACAATGCCAGGCCCCACACAGCACGTCACACTAGAGACTTCCTCCAGAACCACAACATCAATGTGCTCCCCTGGCCCTCAAGATCACCGGACTTAAACCCGATCGAACATCTGTGGGATGCCCTGGACAGACGGGTGCGACGCCGTAACCCTCAGCCCCAGACACTTCAGCAACTCGCACAGGCACTACAGGCAGAGTGGGCTGCGATTGGGCAACACGAGATTCTGAGACTTATTCGTTCGATGCCGAGGCGATGCCGTGCAGTTCTGGATGCCCATGGTGGTCACACGAGGATTTGACTTCAGCGCCACCACACGTCTCCATGTGACTCTCGAACTGACTTTCCTCGAGTTGGTGCCAAAGACGGATAAGTCTGCATTCCCAGTGTGCAATTTCGCTATATTTCATTAACTCATAAAGCCTACAAGATGTTTCAATATAAACATAAAAATACAGTTGAAATTCCTATATGCGTTTCTTTTTTGGGAGAGTATATATTCAGAGACTTAGCGTTAGTCTAGTGCAAAGTTTGTGCCTGGTTTTGAGTAGTAACTGCAGAATTATTTTTATCAGCGAAAAGCTTCACTAACAATATACTGAATTAGCATTTACACGTTAACTCAGCTTGAAAGAAAATCGATTATGTGTGTGTATACATATATCTTGATATTGGACGTATGCATGGATGCGTTCAAAGCAGTGTGCGAAATAGTTTCAAAATTGTGCTAGCCAGTCGGGCTAGCTATGCCTGAGAGTAACTAGCGTCACTAGCCCGAAATTTGAATGTAGACACCGGTTTCATTAATAAGCTGCTAATATGATGAACAATTTTATAAGGCCATAATCTTACATGATTTAAAAGCGTATTATAACTTAACAAGTCGGAGTGGTATATTCACAAAATGACCTCAGTAAAATTCACTAGCCAGTTGGGTCAGTGACTGCGGAGATTTACTGGCCCGACTGGATTTTTACTAGCCACGGGCTTGCGGGCCAGTGGCTATTTCGCACACTGGTTCAAAGTACGATTCAGCTCACCTAAAAGTGTCCATCAATGTAAGCAACACCACAAGGACGGATGTCCAGCAACCCAGTTCAAACTGGGAGCATATATCTATCACTGATCGGATGTTAGGAGTTTGCATGGCATTTTCACACCACTGTCATAACATTTCCAAGAGATAATCTCGTCCGAAGCGGGGAGCAGACGACATCCGTAATGACAGAGTTTGTCAACACACAGTAGACAGATTTGTCCAACAGACACCAAGGCTGAGCGGATATTTACCTCAAGTATCCCAGTGTCACACCACCAGTTTACTCCTTTCGAGGCCATCTTACCTGCTTCAAAATTCAATAACGTTATATAATGCAAATCGTATGGTCAAACTTTGAACAACAAGTAGACTGACTAGTGTACAGTTTAGCCAATTAAGAGTTCCTTTGAGTTTGTACCTTCATGGACTGAGGGCCTTACTGGGGAAGTGTAGGAACATTGGATCTTGTCATTGTCAGACTATAGACTTAAGTTTGAAAGTGACGTTTATTTCTTTCTTCCTTTTTTTTGTTCACTACAAGTAGTCGTAGTGAGAATATTCCTGAATGGGAATGGAGGCAAAAACTAAAACGCCGATTCCAAGATTGACAGAAATTAAATTAAAATTATCAAAAACGACGGTGGTGCATTAATTCGGCTTTTCCCAAGGAAAGAGGACATAGTCCATCAGTCTTGACATTTCGATGATACAACCTCGTGAAAAACGTTTGAACATCAAAAAGAGACCTTCGTATGCTGGTTTACGTCAGATTGGGGTTTATGCAACCGACTTCTTCCAACATAAAGCCTATGCTATGTACCCTTCACAATGACAATATACTATTCTAATGAATTCAAACAAATTGACTGCCAATTTCGATTACGTTTAATATATACTCATGCCAATAATGGTTGTCACCCCCTTCACTTTTTTTTATTGGAGAGGGGTTGGGGCGTCGAGGGGGGTGACAACCATTATTGGCATGAGTATACTTAAATCTTACACTGGAAGGAGTAGAAACACCTGTAATCTGTACACGCTGAGTTACCCTGATACCAACTCAGTAAGACTGCACGGTATTATACGGCTATAGTTACCTTTTCAAATGATACCTATTGAGATATTTTTTCTGAGAACCGATTAGATACTGTCTAAAAATATGTTAAATTTTTTGTAATTATCTCTATGGTTTAAATTCAAATCTACACAGGTTTTCATTCAAACCTAATGTTTCGTTTCGTAATTAATTGACAAAACAGGACACTTTACATACTACTATTTGCCTAAAAATAAAAAAAAAGAATCTCTTAAATCCAGTCTTATTTATAGATTGCTTTCATCAGAACCATAATATAGTTTACAGACGTAGGAAATAGGGTGTGGTTGTACCGTCAGTATCACTCACTGTCAAACGTTGAAGCTCTCAGTATATCGCAAACACGGGTACCTGAAAACAATATACAGTTTATGCACGCAGCCCAACCTTTCAGTGTATGAGCCGACCATCATTGTTTTCAACCCATGTTTGTTGTTATAAAGAGCAACTTACGTTATCAGGAGGTCAGGCTCGCTGACTTGGTTGACACATGTCATCGTATCGTATCCTTGATCATGATGTGGTGTCAGTTGTGAGACTCCCAGTTATGAGACAGTTGAGTAGGTAATTAACAACGAAAACACACCATACTCGCCTGTCTGATAGAATGGATTCACCCTAGCTAATTACTGATTTGCTATGTAACTGAATCTTGTGGAGGTTACTTAATGAAACTTTATAAGATAAATTGATTAACATACTCATGTAAATGTCTTTAATAATTAAACACTTTGTGTAGGTAACTTCGTGATCAAAGAGAAATTAATTTACCTACTCAGATTTACTCCGTCTCCGAAACTACAAGCTATAGTTTAAGAACTAAGAAATAACTCTGAAATACAAGAAATTTCCAGTCGAACTGCCTCTCATGCCAAACCCTTTCTACCCGACACAATAAATTTATAGAATGCCCTGCCAAATTCCAAAGAGTCATGCAGTCTCAAAGGATTTTAAAACCTAATTACAAAACCGAAAAAAGATTTATATTGATCTTAATTATGGTTCTTGTTTTTGTCAAATCGTTCACTGCCGCCTCAGGCTCGGATCTAGCGACCCAATCGCCGATAAGTATAACAGACATTTAATAGACAGTGCACGTTGCTCTTGTGGATATCAACTACCCGTTATAACCTGGATAATATTTTGAACGGAAACAAAGAATTTACTCCTTGTGTAAACCAGAATATATTTGAATCCGTCCACGATTATATCATCAAGACACAGCGCTTCAAATTTCTCTCAGGGAAATGCTTAAATTAACTCAACAACTTTCTCGTGATTGATTTATATTCCTACAATAACTTGTTAGACACACACAACTGCAAGTCTCTAATTATGACTACTTAGAGAATAGTTGCATTTGATGTAATCTGTATATATTTATATGTATTTAAAAATACATTTATGCAATAGTCAATATCGATGACGTCACATCCTCCATTTCGTTTTAAATTTTATGTTGCATAGCGGTGTTAACATGAGCAGTAATACTTCACCAATTCCAATTCATTTTCATAAATAATAATAAAATATGTTCAAACTAAAATTACTTTCAAACTTCATAATAGCCAATAAATATGTGTTATTCTTCTGAATCAATAAAATATTTATTGAACTATTTCTTCTGTGTAAATATAATCTTTGAAAATCTATGTCATTAGTCAACTCATCAATGGACTATGCCTCCTGTGGGTACTGGGCTGGGCTGATCCCACTTTCATTGTAGGGATGTGGAAACACCATCTATGTGCACTGAACCATTAATTAATGTGTCTCACAACTGGGAGTTCTCACAAATGGGAGGACACAGACTTCGTTGTTGCGGGGGATATAGAAACGAGTTCCGTCCGTCCGTGCGTCCGTCCGTCACACTTTGTCCGAAGCATATCTCCTAAACTATTCGTGATAGCTTAACCAAATTTGGTACACATGTCAACCACGATCCCTAGATGTGCCTTTTGGGGTTAGACCTAGATGCGAATTTTATTTTTGTGCGGTTTCCATGGAAACATGACTTAGGCGGTGACTATGAGGAGGTCATCTTGTCCGGAGCAGATCTCCCAAACTATAAATGCTAGCTTCATCAAACTTGGTACATATGTCAAGCATGATCCCTAGATGTGCCTTTTGGGGGTTAGACCCAGATATGAATTTGATTTTTGCGGTTTCCATGGAAACATGACTTATGCTGTGACTATGAGGATGTCATCTTGTTGCATTTCCATGGCAACAAGTTAGGCTTCAACTGAATTTGGTGGTAAAGTACTGTCGGAAATAGAAAAAAAACTGTTTTAAAGCTTTTATTCTGTATCCTTAAAATTTGCTGGAGATGAGGTGCGACGGTGTGAGTTCGAATCCCGGATGGGGCTCAACTCAAAAAGTACTAGAATTTGTATTTTACTAAGAAAGTGTAATCCCAAATACAACACGTTACGTTTGTCTTCTTGTTTACAGAAAAACTGAAATACTGCTTGGTGCTGCGTCAAACAACAAACAAATGTTCCATGTTACTAACATCCACTGACGGGCTGGGCACATGTCGACTCATTATCTTGCTGGTCTATTTCATCATTTTGTTCACAAGATGGTCCCCAAATATATGTAAAAACACAGCAAAGTACGCTTCTATATTTATCCGTGCTACGGGGAATTCTCAGGGATTTCTCCCGGAACATAGACGTGATCCCTTAAAGATCACATATACTCTAGGGGGGTACAAATACATAAATCACTAATTGGCGTCTACGTCACTCCAACAAACACTTAAACACATAAAAATTTGTCATTCCTTGAGTGAGACTTTAATAATGACCAGATCGTAGATGCTGCAAAATGGCAATAGCAAAATTTGTAATAAGATTTAGCCCATGTATTCTGGCCTAGTTTTCTTCATGATGTTTTAGTTATGTAAGACCTGACATGAATGTCATATGGAAGAAAAACTTGATCAGACAAATCCCCAGACCCTTGAAGCCGATACTTCCATTTGAAGTGGAATCAGTCAGGTCAATATCGTCTGTGTTGGTCCCTTGCCCAAAGCAAAGGCTGGTTAGTAGTATTTGTTTCAGAATTACAAGCACATCAACCAGATACAGTTTAAGTTTCTCATTGTGGTTTATGTTATCAAGGGCTGAGGACTGTTTCATAATGTTGGAGTTGGGTCTTGACAAGTCAAATCTTGTGCTGGTCATCCTCAGTCACATGGGGCATTGGAGAGATTTCATGTGACTCTTAAACATATTATCAGCTTTTGAAACTGAAAAGAATTGGGATGAAGGAATACTGTTATTGTTTGCAGTTAGGTTGTTGTTGGTGGCTTGTTGTCTTATGCCACAGTCAGCTATACTCCAGCTATACGGCAACAGTCTGTAAATAATCGGACAAGACAATCCAGTGATCAACATCATAGAGTCAGGTCAGAAGAGTTAGGGCTCATTCACTTTGAGTTAGTCTTGGGTGGAGCAGTACCAGTCACAAAGAACCAATACAGAATTGTGACTTATTGACCAATCACACTTGAATTTACGCAACCATTTGTTAAACATCACATACACACACTTAAGTTGGAGCATTTTAACTTCAAATCTGTGGTGGAGAATGACATCACGGAATCAATAGACAGTGAGTGGAGTTCACCTGCATCCTCTAACCCATGCCTGACATCACCTGTTAATGTTGTACAGACATGAAATAAGTAAACTTGTCATCCAATAAATAAAAGTGGCACAAGCCTTTTCACTGCTTAAGAAATCTCTGCCAAAAGCAAAACCATTTTATGATTCAGACTGTATTGCGAGCATATCAAATAGTGACTGACTGAGTTTGGTTTTACGCTGCTTTTAGCAATATTCCAGCAATATCAAGGCTGGGACACCAGAAATGGGCTTCACACATTGTACCCATGTGGGGATTCGAACCCGGCTCTTCAGCGTGATGAGCCAACACTTTAACCACTAGGCTACCCCACCGCCCCTATCAAATAGTTAACAAACCATGAGTTGTGAATAGGTGGAAGCACTGTTCCCCATATGCTAGAAGCAAAGGCAGATCCATTGTTAACTATTTTGAGTGGCATGTAGAATTTGGTGTGATGAACAACAGGGAAAGTTTCATGGATATACATGTATAACTCCAATTGTTCACTCCCAAACACAACAAAGTATGACTCAGACCACAAACTATGAACTGATGGCTGTATTGACAGAACTGGTCAAGCAGTTTGTCAGTAAGTATGTTGAGTGAGTGAGCGAGTTTAGTTTTACGCAGCACTGAGCAATATTCCAGCTATATGGCGGCAGTCTGTAAATAATCGAGTCTGGACCAGACAATCTAGTGATCAACAGCATGATCATCGACCTGCACAATTGGGAACCAATGACATGTGTCAAACAAGCCAGCGAGCCCAACCACCAAATACCGTTAGTCGCCTCTTACGACAAGCATGGGTTACTGAAGGTTCATTCTAACCCGGACCTTCACGGGTCCAGTAAGTATGTTAAGTTTGACCTCATTAAGAAGCATTTTTAGATTACACTTACTGAATGAAACATTCCAGCAATATCACGGCAGGGGACACCAGAAATGGGCTTCACACATTGTACCCATGTGGGGAATCGAAGCCGGGGGGGTCTTCAGCGAGACGAGCGACCGCTTTAACCATTAGGCTACCCCACGGCCCCTACTGAATGAGGCGAGATGTCTGCTTTTGCTACACCAGATAGACTATATCATCCCAAAGTTGTGACATCACATCTTAGCCAACAAAGTACCTAACCTTACATCCACAACAATATCCGCCATTCAGTGGTTTGGAATGATCATTAAAGGATCTGTGCCTTCCTTGAGGAACTATCCCATTCAAACTTGTAAATTTGGCCAAGTGTAAATTTTTTAAGGCCCATTTGAGTTCTTAGGCAAACGAGTCTTAGGTCAAGGTCAGGGACACAATTTTAATACAAAAGTAAAGACTATTGCAAATTTGTAAGATTTATTGTATCAGGGCACGTTCCAGTTTTGCTAATTAGGCAAGTGTAAAAGAAATGTATACTGTTCATGTAACATGATAAATAGAATATTTGTAAGGTACAACATTATTTCCTTCAAACAGTATTTTAACGAAAATTTTCAATATAAGATGTAGATTGTTCATTGATCTTTCGAGCTTAACTACTGATTTAGTTCAGCATCCACCAATTTCTTGGTTAACCTGTGTGTTCCAATTTTGGAATCAACACGTAAAAAAGTAAATGTTGTCGTAGCTGTAGCAAATTGTACAAGGTTTTGCTGGTCCATCTACCTCAACACTTATAACTGCACAGTCTTGGACGTTTGCTTCATCGCGTTATAGATGAAAGAGTTGTTGATAGGGACAAACTGACCAGTGATGATCTTTATGACCTCTTGGGCTGCGACACCACCCATCATGGCTGCCACTGAGTGAAGCTCTGCTGCCCCATAGCGGCAAATTTCATGGACAAAATCATCCTTGACAGTTGGCGGCAGTCCCCAGTCGTGAAGTAACTTGACTATGAAGGCCTTCAGTTTAATTATGTCAGATTCAACTTGATCATTGTACCAGCCAGGGTAACGGTTGAATTCCTCATAAAACTTGTCTACACCTCGCAAGAGGATGTAGAAGATCAAATCATCTCCCTCTTCATCTTCCAAACACATTCCTAATTCTGCGATGTTTGCTTTGGAGGAGTTATACTCTTCTGCTAAACTGCGACATCGGACAACCCGCATAAAAGATGCATTTTTACAAAATAACCTGACATCCTTCTCTGTGATGGTATTTGGTCCCTTCCCGATCTCTTGCAGCAATCTCTGGACATGTTGCATCACTTCCTCCATGTCACGTTCTGCGTGTTCACGGTACACGTTCTGCAGCTGGATGTAGCGCTTGGAATCAGCTGTCATGTCAGGAATGGTTCCTCTCAGAGGAAGAGAACCTTTCATTTGTACAAAGTCTTTCACAGCCTTGGCGAGGATCCAAAATGATTTACTCTCACTATTCAGATGACAGCAAGCTGGATCTTCAAATATTTTTTTGACTTCTGATGGGATTGAAGTTGGAACAAGTGCAGAGTTGAGATGTTGTACAGCTTCCTCAAAGTTCTCCTCCTCTTCAGGGATATCATCTTCTTTCTTCATGGTTCCTTGTCTTATCATGGCTTTCAACTGGGTTTTCTCCTTGTAGTTTTTTGGTGCTTGTCCATTGTGCTCTTCTTTCCATTGTTGCAGGAACTTGTACAGGACTACCAACCAGGGTGTATGTGAATGTTCCTTTTTCGTCATATTTGCAAGATCAAGACTATCACAGTATTGGACCAGTCCAGAGAAAGGGTTGTCCAGTCGGAGGTCATCATGAGCACTGTCTGGATGTGATTCTATCACTGTGTGCTCTTTGACCACCAGTCTCATTTCACCAATGAATCCATAACAGCGACACACAAGCAGTGGCACACCTTTCTCCCACAGTAACTCATCCAGCTGAAGCAGAGTCCGCTCAGACAGGTTGGTAGCAATAACTATGCTGAAGGTGGTGAAGAAATCAGGGTTGCTCTGTAGCAGATTTTCAGCACTCTCCTCAACAAAGTCACCAGTGACATCATCATTCAACTCAGCCAGGAATTCTGTGGCTACTTGAGCGAGACTCCTCCCCAGGCTATCTTTGGATAAGAAGAAGTTATTTCCAACATCTTCACCACTAACTTTATTGCCATCCACAATGGTGTAGGAGCCCACACCTGGGAGGATGAGGTTCTTCAGTATCTCTGTCCCCGTTGCCGTTACATTGATGAGACAAACTCGAGCTGACTCCAGAGCAGTCTGACCATGGTCACCCCACAATCTGAGCTGCCTGTCATATTTATTATTCTTGTCAAGTCCACTTTTGCTGGGAGCTGCCATGCTGCTACGTTTAATAACACAATATGCATCTGAATCTGAAATAGAAGGAATATGATAATAGTATATCATCATAGTCAGATTACATATTTTCATGGCATTGAACTAACCAAAATATAGCTTTATTTTTGTATTAAATGAACCGTTAAGAATCTACACTTCTGAAAAAACAATGTTTTGAGCTCCAACACACTGGAACGATGTACCGGTATATAGCTATACAGGTTCAGATATACTGTATTAAGCTGATGTAATCAACATAAAGATTTTACGCCAGACACATTTCTTTTAAAATGTTAAACTTAAAATTATAAAGTTTTCAGAATGAAGCATTTAAGAACAAGCAACAGTGTATTATTATTTTTTTTTTCCTTAGACTGTTTTGTCAATGCATTATTTCAATAAATATATATTCGATTGACAATAAAAGCTTTAACCATTACGCCACCACACTGCCCTATATTCCATTACAGATCACATCAGACGATTCACAGCGACCTTCCACAATCTTTGACTAACAAATGAAGTGACTAACCATGCGAAGAAGAAGTCATCCTAAGCCAATAAGAAGCAGCTTTCTCTAGTTTTAAGGCACCAGCATCATCAGAATGATGCATTGTCAGGGAGTGGTGTTATTTAACAGTCAAACACACATTGCCAATTTGAAGCTAGGTAGGCTAATGACAGACTGACTGACTGAGTTTGGTTTTACACTGCTTTTAGCAATATTCCAGCAACATCAATGCGCGGGGCACCAGAAATGGGCTTCACACATTGTACCCATGTGGGGATTCAAACCGGTTCTTCGGTGCCCAACGCTTTAACCACTAGGCTACCCCAGCCCTAGGTAGGCTAATGAATCAGGGCACTATTAGGGCTGGCTATGGATAGAGTTAATAGAAACTGATGATCGTTAACTAAATTGATTGACTCAGTCAATAAATTTATGAAAAGTAAATTTGACAAAAAAATCCAAAAGAAATCTAATATTTCACATCACTGGTGAGCAGTGATACATTTATTCATGGCTGAACAACAAAAACAGCCTATTGACCATCGTTTACAAACAACCTTTAACTAATAACATAACTTTGTGTGTTATGTGTAGTAATTAAGACTACTTTTCATCTCAATAGTTCAAGTATGATATTATCGAGAGTAGAATTTTCATATTGATAATCATTGATAATTTTTCCCATCGACAACATTTCCAATTATCAATCTTTTTAGTCAGCCCAAGGCAAATAATTTTGTGCTTATTTACACCATGAAATTTGTCTGCAGCATATTCAACCCTTTTCATTCATTTCTGTAACTCCTGAGGCAGGACCTGATAACTCTGCTCAAAAAGTAATAGTGTCAATGTAGCTCAGTTGGTTAGCTGTCAGACTGACAATCCAAAAGTTGGGAGTTTGCATCCAACAGATTCTCACAAAACTGATTGCTTGTCAAAGTAACGTGACCTACGGCCAAGATCATCATCACAAAATGCCATTTCTGGTGTCCTCGCCATCCCTGATAGTTAATAAATTCGTTGGGCCAACATTGGCCAACGTAGGCCCAATGATGGCCAATGTTGGTCCAACATTGGCCCAACGTTGCTATCTGGGATGATGTTGCTGGAATATTGCTAAAAGCCGGGTAAAAACCAAACTCAGTCAGTCAGTCATCACAAAATGATGTGGCGACTTATTCTAAGGAGGCTCCACCCAGTTATTTACCTTTCTGCACATGCACAGAAACCATTTTCTCTGTGATCTTGAAACATACAAAATTTACTCGAATAGTGTTGGACATATTCTTTGAAAGTATTAAGACTCATATCACTGCTCATTACTAACCCTAAGGGTGCCTAATCCAAAGGAGGGTAATGGGGTGACTGATCGGCAAGTGGTGCCAAACCCTAAGAAGATGCATGAAGATGAGATTGATTAGAAAGGGTTATCTAACCCTACTAGTCGTATGGGGGTGTTGATTGGAAAGGCCATGTTAACGCTATGGATCGATGAATAACCAGTAAAGCGATGCCTGGAAAGTGTCGGCAGTAAACAGCATATAGCGATATACAACATACAAGCGATAAGGAAAGAGTTGTTTACAACCTACACCAACGCTAACAGTGTTGGTGTAGGTTTAGCCGAGACCGCGATGCGGTCCTATACAGTCAAGACATGACCCTGCATCACGGCCGAGAACACCACCTTCATAAATCCTATTCAGATTCTAGCGGCCGATTACCCCTCGTATTTTCTTGCGATTTTTAAATATATTTCCTGTGGGTTTTGACTGAAAAGTCGATACCGATGTAAACCCAGATAAATTCCTATACATACACGTAACTGTCATATTTTTGTGATCATACATTTAGATATTAATGGGCCTGAAACCCGTTGAGGTCTTGTTTTAACGATAGCGAGCTGACATGTTGACATGTTGTGCGCATGCGCCAAATTTCTATAGTCCGTATCGGAGGACGTTCTTCATTAGCGGTACGCAATGCTCACTCTCGCCTCCCGTTTCGCTCGCTCGTACTTTGGGTGAATCACACTTAATGTATGTTACATTTCTCTGCTTTTATGTCATAATTTACAGATTTTCCTTGCAGAGAGGATTCCATTCATATCTCTACGAAAAGATGTGTCCATGGGATCTAGCAGATGTATTAATATACAACGCAGTGCACAGAAGACTTAACCCCATGGATGCCGAGGTTTATTTTCTCTGAAGTTCTGAAAAATGAACGTTGAGCGAGAATTGCGTTAGTGAGGCACTGCTTCTAGCTACGGCTATAACACAGATATGTAGAGTATTTAATTTCCTATCCGGTGATGTAAATTTGAAGCACAAATACACAGGCGGTTTGGAAAGTAGAATTTGTTAAGGTTGTCTGAAAAGCAGTAAATGTCTCCGTTTACAGCACGACGATTTCTTTATCTGGCATCTTTAATGAAACTTTGTGCGAATAAAATACTGCTTGATATCTGAACGACAGAACAACATATGAAATGGATTTGTATGCTTATGTATAACTTTCTACGTTCAATATGAAAAATGGCTTGACGAAAGTTGATTTTCCTCTGACGTCAAGCAACGACAGAGAGGACACACACATATATATATACCCGTTGATCCAATCTTTTTCAATACAAAAATCCACATTGTAACCGGATACGTTTTGTTATTATCACAAATTATAAAGAATTAGGAAATCGCACACGAGAAAGGAGGTAATAGCTAAATGGATGGTCCTATCTACCTAGAAATTAGTTGTTAGATTCCCAAACTCTTTTGATTATGTAGATGTATTTTGACTAACGTTGCATCCTTATTAACAGAGATCGAGCCTCAAATATAATGAAATTTCTGAAAATACGACACCACATTAGTTGCATGTTGTAAATATTTGGCAATGCCGGAGAAAGATGACATCTGTATGTTGTTTAGTATATATCTGACCTAATTTCCATTCAAGGTATAAAATCTCGGTTTATCATAGTATCAAATGTTTTTTAGCTTCCATTAGATGTTATATTCGTAATCTGATGGAGAAGAAGTGAATGAGTATTGTTTTACACTACTATTAGCAATATTCCAGCAATATCACGGCGGGGGGACACCAGAAATGGGTTTCCCACATTGTGGCAGAATAAGTTGGACATGTGCACTGAAGTAGGTATCAATAAATTACATTCAATAAAACTAACTATCGGTTGACGAGGTTATTATGCGAAGATGTCGTATTGGCCACACAAGATATACGCATTAATAGTTACTAATAGGTGAGGATCCTCAGCTTAGTGTCCCACGTGATGAAAGAATCGCAGCCAAACATGACCTGCTTGACTGTTTATTTTTCTATCACAAAGGATAAATATTTCAGTGCCAAAACGGTTAAAGATCTCTTTAATAATGTTAACTGTCATTTCTTTATTGATGTTATAAAAGAAATTGACCTGATCGATAAAATTTGATTGATCTATTTTGTAGATACGCATTTTTTATATAGTCTACGTCTCGTCCGTCCGTCCGAAATCATTTTGTTTCCGGAGCAAACTCAAAAACTGTTCAATATTTGTCAACCCAAATTGGTAGGTATATTAAACAGAACCTAAAGTGGTGCCTTTTGATACTTACAATTTTTTGTCATTTTTATTTTTCGCGGTTTCCATGGACACGATTCAAACTTTGTCTCAAAAGGAGGGGTGTGCTTCGTTTCCGGAACACAACTCGAAAACCGTTCAATATCTTTCAACAGAACTTATTAGATATATGAGACATACCCGAAAGTGGTTCCTTTTTCTATTTGCGGATTTTGGACATTCATATTTTTCCCGATTTCCATGTAAACGATTCTGACTTAGTCTAAAAGAAAATCAAGTTGGACTTTAAGTAGCTGTCAAATGATCTTCTTCTTGTTGAAAAATATTGAACGGTTTTTTAATTAAGACTCTGGAAACAAAATTACATGCCTCGGGTTGGGTTGGAGGGAGTGATAAATGAATTGTTATAGTCACGATATATCTAAAATATTGCCGGTGTGACTATAATCTTTACTCACTCACTCACCATTTGAATAATTTCCTTGATAGATAAACGATTGGATAGTTTACCATGTATCTTACTGTATACAACGCGCGCACTTGTTTTGCTTCGTTTTCGCGAATATCAAAGAAAATATTTCAAAATATAATATTTATGTTCCAATATTATGACCGGGTCAGGTCTCGGATTGTTCATTATCATGTGGCTACTCTCTTCATTATCATGTGGCTACTCTCTACTTATCTGTGGCTACTCTCTTCATTATCATGTGGCTACTCTCTTCACTATCATGTGGCTACTCTTTATACGATACGAAGAAAGGTGAACTCATAAATACCCCTTTGGTACGGAACTATCAGAGGGGTGCTTGCGATTGGGCAAAAGGAGGACATGTAATGTTTTTTTAATTTTTTTGGTACAGTTCTTGCAGAAATAAAGTGAACAGTTTAATATCATGTCATGGGATTATTGGCACTATTTAGTGATTACACCGTGTATATTATAAAAAAACAAAACGAGTATATCGTTCAACGTTTGTGACAAGCGCGCACCTAGTGAATCATTCAACACCATTGTCAATAAAAAGATATAATACAAATTTCATAACCATGATAATTCCTTATAGATATGTGTGTATATACATTTAAACATATATTAATAACTTTCCTAAAGTAAAAGATCTTGTTGTACTAATATATCCTTTAAAGTATTTTTCTTTGAGAACATACAGATCTTATCAAATCTATAAAACAATATATGGAAAGAATCTGTACCATTTGATAGCATATTGGAAGAACCATTCGATCCATGTAACCTCAGAACTTTATACATGGAGGGAAAAGCATGCAGATAATCTATGCTGTTGTGTAATGGATATTGCCTTGAAGGGGGAAAAAATAGTCAATAACAATGGCAAACTGATATTTATACAGAAATATCGAAATATAATTGGATGGAAAACTATTTACCGTCAAGAACAACGAATAAGACAAAGTTCAGATAATTAATTCCAACACTATATTATTCATAGAATGCTGACAACAGATAAAAACACGTTCAAATATAAAATTGTAGCATATTCTCTATATTCTTTGTGCAGTGCTGAAACTGAAAATATCATTCGTTTGTTATTTTAATGTACACAGGTAAAACTATTGAGCAATAACCTTATAAAATAGACAGAAAATAAATCCGGTACTAAACTAAAAGTAGAATAGAATCACATCATTTTTTGGCTGTGTGAATTTATTATACCTTGCAACAAAAATTATCTCCATAATACTACCGAACTAAAACATACCTCCTGAAATCTACATCATTTAGAAAAATATATCTCATACACAGTCTGTGAATACGACAAATTTGTGACCTCGTTTTTCATTTTGCACTACGTTGTATATTAATAAATCTGCTTGATTCCATGGACACATCTTTTGGTAGAGATATGAATGGAATCCTCTCTGCAAGGAAAATCTGTAAATTATGACATAAAAGCAGAGAAATGTAAATACATTAAGTGTGATTCACCCAAAGTACGAGCGCGCGAAATGGGAGGCGAGAGTGAGCATTGCGTACCGCTAATGAAGAACGTCCTCCGATACGGACTATAGAAATTTGGCGCATGCGCACAACATGTCAAACATGTCAGCTCGCTATCGTTAAAACAAGACCTCAACGGGTTTCAGGCCCATTAATATCTAAATGTATGATCACAAAAATATGACAGTTACGTGTATGTATAGGGAATTTATCTGGGAGTACATCGGTATCGACTTTTCAGTCAAAAACCCACAGGAAATATATTTAAAAAATCTCAAGAAAATACGAGGGGTAATCGGCCACTAGAATCTGAATAGGATTTATGAAGGTGGTGTTCTCGGCCGTGATGCAGGGTCATGTCTTGACTGTATAGGACCGCATCGCGGCTCTCGGCTAGTGTAGGTTGTGAACAACCCAGTAACACAACTAAACATAACGATAAAAGACGCGCACGAAGTCTGTGAAGTGATAGTCAGAGTCGGCAGCCAGAGCTAGGCAGCGCTATATAAGCATCTAGAACCGGTAAACTGCATTGTTGCCTCCATATTAAAAGTATCACATCGTCTCCACCAATATTAGAACGGAATAGTAGTGTCTACTAGTGACACACCGCAACGCTGAGCCAGGGTCGTTTATTCAGTTACATTCAACTACAAGTTTGTATCTGCGACCACAGTTGCACACTGAACCAGATTAATGTCTAACGACCCATTTCACAGTAATCTAACTGACCTACATCACATACCAATAACAAATCACCCTGACGAAAATGATCATTCGCTGGGCGCCGCCATCTTGAATATGGTCTCGTTCACGCGAGATCTTGTCACGCATCGCAAAACTAACTCTAAGGACCGTTCATAATATTTGTGATGAGGATTTTTTTTTCCGTTTTTTTTAATTTGATTTATTTGTTTGTTGTTGTGTTTTGGTTTTTTCTTGTTTTTTTTTGTTTGATTTGTTTTTTTGGGTCACCCATTTTGTTCTGGGGAGGGGGGCTATCAATTTTGTGCACATGATTTTGACATGACATGCAGGGGGACACTTACATTGTACATATATTTTTTGTTGTTTAATTATATTGTGTGTGTGTTTGTGTGTTGTGTTTGTTTTTGGTTTTTTGGAGGGGTTGTCATTCACATTGTACATGCTTCTCCATAAAACCACTATTATATGGTCTCTGATAAAACTCATCATCAAACTTTAGATCGGAACACAAATTAAAAGTGTACTTGAGACACACCTTTGTCTAATGCCAGCATTGCAAGAATGTGCACAAGAGAAAGTTCAAGTATCTCTCATGAATTTACATTTGGATGAATACATACTATCCGTACTGAAGGTCGGGTGGATTATTATTGGTGGATGGCCAGTATACCCGGGCGCACGCACGCACGCACGCACACACACGCACGCACGCACACAACATTTTATTCAGCAATCCAAAACTACCAAAAGGCGCCAGTTCACCACTAGACCTACCTATATAATTATGTCAAATGTTTTGATGTGCAAAATTGTTGCAATCGAAACACACACAAAAAATATTTTATTCAGAAATCCAAAACTACCAAAAGGCACCAGTTCACTACTAGACCTACCTATGTATGAAGTTTGGTGATGAAACAGTGAACAGTTTTTACCTTCTGCTCCGGAAAAGAGCACTACCACCAATGTTTTCAGTCAAAGTGAAACTTATTGCCATGGAAACGCCCAAAATATTTTATTCAGAAATCCAAAACTACCAAAAGGCACCGGTAGACCACCAGATCTATCCATGTGCCAAGTTTGGTGAAGAAACATTGCATGGTTTTAAAGTTCTGCTCCGGAATAGAGCACTACCACTAATTTCAGTCTAGGTCAAACCTGTTGCCATGGAAACGCCAAAAGTAATTTATTCAGAAATCCAAAAGTACCAATAGGCACCAGTTCATCACCAGATCTATCTGTGTGCCATGTTTGGTGAAGAAACATTGAACGGTTTCAAAATTTTGCTCCGGAAAAGACAAATGTGCACAGACGCACGCACGGACGGACGGAATCCATTTTAATAACCCCACCCCCTACCCCGCAAAACGCGTTGCGGGGGATAAAAAAAGAAAGGTCACTTACATTGAACCATATGTCCAGATCACTCTTGATGCGACTATAGAGGCCGATATCCTTGACTACAGAATACGTGCCCACCTGCACAGTCAGACTGTCCATAATGAACCACCCAATACGCAGTGATGGGATGTTGAACAAGTTGATCTTCAAATAGAGCGTGTTCTCATTGTGACTGGGTCTCCGATTTTGCCCAGCACTTCTCGTCTTCCAGAAACCAGTGAACGATTATCACAGCGCTGTTTCACATTCAGTTGCTCTGTGTTATGAAAATTTTAGATATGAATGAAAAAAAAGTTTCGTTTATTTTGAGGTTGTAAATCGATATCCATGGAAATTCTACAGATTTACAGATGATCCACAGCATTACTCCTGGGTGAACTGCTGGACAAGTAGCACATAAATTATGAAGTCCAAAGGTCAGGGGGAAATTCTTCTCTGGGAAATTCTTTTCGGGTGAGGAGTGGAGTCATACCGCGGTCTGTTGGCATACGTTCGTTGTTGTTTGATATCAATCTGTAAATTGGCATCGCCAAGTCTGTGGCTGGTTGGTTGTTGTTTAACGCCGCACTCAGCAATATTCAAGCTATATAGTACGACAGTCTGTAAATAATCGAGTCAGACAATCCAGTGTTCAACATCATTGCAACTGGGATACGATGATATGTGTCAACCAAGTCAGCGAGCCTGACCACCCGATCCCGTTAGTCGCCTCTTACGGCAAGCATAGGTTACTGAGGATCAATTCTAACCCAGACATTCACGGGTGCACAAAGTCTGTGAACTCTTTTACACAGCGTCAAATGAGGAGATATGATTGAAGGCGCAACGATCCGGATGGCTTTACGTGGGTCGATCAAAAAGTACGTAGACTTACTGTATTCTCGATGTCCAATGTTAGAAAAGCTTCCATTTTGTTTTGAACAAATCTTTAGCAAAGTCATATCCAAAATTTCACATATGTGGGTAATGTGGTTAACGAGATATTAGTCATTGGGGTATTGCTAACAAAACTGCAGAAAATGAAAACGATCTGTCATTTGGTACCTCTTGGATAATGGTATGCCCGCAGAGTATATCATATAAAATATGTTCAGTATAGTATTGGATGAGTTCCCGTCATAATCAACAGTAAAAGATTTGGATTGCTTAATTTATATTTAGTCGAGGGCTGTTTGTTAAGGACACCCCCATTTTAATCTTCCTAAAACATTGTGCCCAGATATTCAAGCTGTTTACCATATATTGTGAGCTGACACTTGTGTAACCATTCAGTGTTTAGTTTGAACCCTTGGCATCATGTATGAATAAGTGAAAACATTAGAATAAGTTATGTCCTTATGATTACGTCATCTGAAAGGGGATGGGTAGTGTCTCCAAAACAAGCTCTTTCAGTCAACATGAAGGGGAGGAGTCACTTTGACAAGCGATTGTAATTTCAGATGCTTTTTTATGAACTTTGATATCTAAGTGTGATTCTAGGGGACTCTATGAATCTCAAACACACAAAATATTTCTTGCATATTTTGTTTCCTGAAGTTTTTGATGCATTTATTGTAGATTTTGCGTTTCAAAAGGTCAAACAAAATGGGGATCGTGAGACTGGAACATAGCAAAACCAAATTGCTTGAGCTTGACAGATTATGTGTAAAAAAAACATAAAAATACCTGCATTTGTATCGTTTTCTTGGTGACTCTACATACTTTTTGATCGCCCCTCGTATGTTACACCTACATTTCTAAACGAGTGAAATATTGATTGTATATTTTCGGATAAATAGTCACAAGTACGTATACAGTCAGATAACTGTTTTACATGGAATAGTTATGATCTAAGGTCCATTTCCGGGCCAAGATTTCAATACGATGATTTGACTCGTAGTAGAACAGCAAAATAAACAAATATGTGTCGCCAGAAAGCTGAAACAGCGTATAGAAGAATAAAAGAGATGCCACGACGTGGGAAGACGTGATAAAAGATGCTTAATAATGTTCCATGCATACTATTAGCAATAATTCACTAGCTACTGTACCTCTTCGGATTCGTCTTCAAAGCAGGTAGAAGCAGCTCCGCTATTTTTGTTAAATCCAAGACTTGCCACTTGTCTCTGTGAAAATTCACAACAATATACAAAATCATTATTAAAAATATTGTGCAGGTTTGATCAAGATTTTGATTGAAATAGATTTGTGAACTCTCGCGATGACAGATTTACGCTCTATACTTATGTTAATGTTGTATGACTATATTATTATTTTTATGTAAGTTACAGGTATTTGTTCATTAAGCCGAAACGTAAGGCAACAACGGATGTCAGGACAGGCTATTTGAATACATACTGTCATAAACTACGTCGTGCTTCATCATCCAGTTTATAAGGATTATCATCATCATATGCATGTACAAACCTGATATCTCAGTACCGTCAAGTTATATTATTTAACTATATTGGCCACTAACATCATTTACATAAATACACACCTGCCTCATTGAATATTCATTGAATATATTGAATACAAAGGAAAGTGTGATGCAGGCGATTAATACGCCGACAAACACAACCGTTTTCAAATCGAGAACAAGAACATTATTTTAATGTCTCTTGAGTCAAGAGTTTTGAAAGTTGAGTTTATGTCAATTGGTGGCAACGAGTAAGCCTTGTGGTGAAATCACTTGGAGAAGGCTGGGAACCTATCATTCTATTTCTCCCACAGTATAATGTGTTAACCCCATTTCTGCTGACAACAGCTGGTATAGCCTGAGTATTGCCAAGTGCCGCGTACAGCCTCACTCCCTCACACTATTCCCGGTTGTAAAATCCCACAAATCGTAAGCCCCAAAAAATAATTTAAAAAGGAATAATTAAAATAACCCAAACAATAGTCTTTTTCTTTAAAGCTCCAATTCGCTCGTGCAAGTTCCTCAGGTCATAGTGTAACAAACGGACAAACTGCCCCGTAAGCTATAAAAAACAACTGCAATTGTACCACAAGCCATGTATGTATTTTGTTTTTGTTTGTTTGTTGTTTAACGCCGCACTCAGCAATATTCCAGCTATATGATTAGCTGTCACTAATCGAGTCTGGACCAGACAATCCAGTGATCAACAGCATGAACATCAATATACGCAATATGTACTGGGCCCGCAGCTTGTCGTAAGAGGCAACTGGGTATTGGATGGTCAGGCTCGGTGACTTAGATTATGTTTATGATTTCACTCACTGATCTGTCCAATCCATACATAATCAGTGCGCATTTATTCACATTTTTAAAGAACGCTTGCTCAACATGTTTGACCAAACTTGGACATGTCCTCTTGAAAAGAGTCCACGATATAAGTTATATACAGAATAGAAGAGTCTTCTTGATCCAGAGGGGTATCTATCTTCCCATTTGGAATATTAATTGATCAAAAAGTAAACTATTGATCAAATTCTGAGCTGGTGTCTTGCGTTTAAGGAATAAAGAAGGTGGCATTATATTGACCTGTCTCTAAGAAATTGTCCTGTATGTAAATTAGAAACTTAGAAGATGAATATAACGGGTTTTTTAAAATGTCCGGATTATAAAGATTTTTGCCTTACAATTTGCAAGTTAACATGATATCTTTTAGCAATATCCCAAAAGAAAACTGAAGACATTGCCATTCTAGCTCGTTTCATCTATAATGCATACGAAATGGTAGTAAAGTTAGAAAAATAGTAAATAGGTATTAAAATTT